TGCTGACGGTGAGCATGTCGAGGGTGCCTATTACGATACCCCGTCGATTTTTTACGAGGAGCCGAAAGACGAGTACCATGCGGCTATAGAATCATCAATGAGGTCGAAGGCACTCTCGAAGTTGGATGTGGTGCGTTACCATTCATGAGATTAGACTCAAGCTACAGTCTACCAGCAAAAATATTTCGATATCAATGACAGCAAGGTTGGCCTTAATTATCCAGACACAATGACAAGCTACGGGGATTTGTTGTCTTCTACTATAGACTCCAACATAGTGGGCTTTCCTTGAAGTATATCAACCAGACACTATATCTCTTGCATCTAACTTGCGGACCTTCTCATGCGCATACTTCTGCTGTCTATATTAATGTATCTTTGATGGAAGACGGTTTGGGGACTGTCCATGATGCTCTTAGGTATATGCTGCAAGAGTCTCTCAAGTGTTGCCAAAGACTTCTAGGAGCTACTCACATACAAACTGCTGTTAGCTATCATGATATAACAATTGTTCTCTCGTTTGTGCATGATCAGGTAAAGCATCAATGGTCGTCTTGGATTCTATGGCGAATCCTTCTCAACTAGAGGGGAGGATGATGGAGATGCAATAGCATAATTATTTATTTCTATTGTTATTTTTTGTTATTTCTCTTATTTACTTTATATATTTGGTAGGGTATATTATTATTATTATTATTTAATATCTTTGTGTTGTTGGACAAGCTAAAAATATAAATTTTTTAGGAGTTTTAGGATTTTCAGAGTCCTATTTAAAGACTCCTTCTCCTTTGTGTTTATACAATTAATTTTGAATAAGAAAATACATAGTTCGATAGATTCATCTCTTATCTTTATTTTCAATCGTAAGCTGCTACATCACTAACTGAATTCTCAAAAGAAAAAGAAAAAAAAAAAACAAAAGCTAAAAATGCTACATTTACTTCATATAAACTGCTAAAATTATCGAGCTCTAGATTTGAATTGACTAATTAAATTTTAAAAAATGATATGAGTTAACCAAGTTAGTTTTAAAAAAACATTAAACATTTATAGAGCAAAACAACAAAACATACTACAATAAGTACAAGTGAAGTATAACACTCACGGTGGCAATGCCAAGTTTTTGAGCATGAGCAAAGTATGCGAACAAGCAACCAGCAAGCACAACTACCATTGGTCCCATGGCTGACACCCAAAATAGCTTCGGTTTCTTCTTTTTCTGCAATCCACCATTTTAACTTTTATACATAATTAGGAGATGCAAATTAAGTAGCTATTTGTATATCATGCAAAACAGAATGATCGATATAATTTTAGGAGAATGCTACCATCCCGTTACGAGACGGTTCCGTTGTGTTTTGTAGCCGTAGATATACATGTAATCTAGCACTGTGTAGATAATCTACGCAGAGCCGGCTTTTAGGGGGAGCAGGGTGAGCAACTGCTCAGGGCCCCCAATTAATTGGGGCCCCATA